TCAAAAATTTCATGATTGAAAATGATTTGACCTCTTAATTTGGCATGAAATTTAAGAACATTGTCAACATGATGATTAGCTAACAAAGCATGTCGATAATTAATGGACAACATCCCAATGTCAATAGGAAGAGTGTGCAATCGAGTAATGGTCTTAGAAAACAATGTGGCAACTCGTGGAATCTCATGTAATTGAGGGAAAACAAAAACAAATTCAACATGAAAGTCATGTAACCTAGTAGGCATGAGATCTAGGATTTCTGAAATGCCTAACTTTGATGGTATTGCTTTAGGTAACTTCTCAATTAAGTCAATGCTACGTTTATCGGTTATAGATGCAGTCACGATATACGACACAATACACTGTTCACAACTCTCGACTTCTGTGAAAATGGAGGAAAGAACTGCACTATAATCATTTAAACAAACCCCTAAAGATTTTATAGCTCGTGACAAGTAAGGTTTGATCTTGTCAGTACACTTCTCAAAAAGTCATTCCACCACACTAAATATAATAGGAGAACCCTCCCGGTGTTTATTTTGAACACTATCCAAAAGAAGGGTAATCAAATCTAGATGAATATAGTCTCTATGAATGTGAAGACATTTCCTAAATGATTTTCGTTTAAAGCTACAAGAAAGTGTTGGAACATGTCAATTATCATATGTTTACTATCTAGGTCCAACATGATAAGACAATACTTCGCATTAGCCATAGTATCTAGTATCATAACTGCGGTATCATACAAATTGATGGATGTGCTCGTGAGAAATGCAAATGATGATATAATTGAGGGAAAAATGTCTTGCATTATTTCATTACAGAAATGGGGATTGGGTGCTGTGATGCAGAATATTTTACCAAGGCAAGAAACAACTGCTACTTGTATAGCAAAATAGGATGTCTTAATAGTTTATTTGAGACCAATGATGTGCTAAGTGTATTANAGATTTTATAGCTCGTGACAAGTAAGGTTTATTGTGGGTGGTAGGTTTTGATGAGGTTTCGGGTTCCATAGATGGATTGTATTTACCAAGCCATCAAATCTCCTCCACTCATGGCAGTTTCTGAAGGCACAACCCGCTGCTTTAGTCATCAATTGTTCCAATTACTATGAATAAATTCAATAAATAGTAAAAACCTAACCTACTGGTGATGGATTTTGGCCAACCCACTACTACAAGTTCAATAATAAAAAAAAGTAATTAATAAAAATCAACAATAAAATAAATTGTGATGTCCGCATCAAGATGTGAAATCAGTTGACTGTTAAAAGAGGATGCAGTTGTTTTTCAAGCTACAAGCTTGAAAATGCTTTTGACAGTTTCTAACAACCAGAGCTTGAATGAGCTTGAGAGAACCCAAGCTTGATATCTCTGTTTCATACCCCAAAGTGACTACTGTTTTACAGGTAGTTTATTAAATATCTTCTGGGTTTCAAAGTTTCAAAAACATTAATCTTTTGATTTGAAGAAGTTCCCATTTTCTTGTGTTAGTGGAAAATAATGAATTCTGAACCAGCTGCATGCAGTTAAATCAAAGAAATATTATAATTTTACAAATTTGGTAGGATTATAGCTCCATTCGTAGCCCATTAAAATTATTTGCTTCCATGAAGAAATTTAAGCCTCAGAAATAAGAACTATGATGTTGAATATTTTTAATCTCTGATATTTGTTGCTGATAAGGAAACATGTATTTGCATCTAAAAATATTTCGACCTTCATTTTTTCAGAGATACAGGCCTCTGGTAGTACATATGGAACTTACTTCCGCGTTACAACATTTGGAGAATCTCATGGTGGTGGTGTAGGGTGTGTAATTGACGGATGCCCTCCTAGACTTCCCCTCTCAGAAGCTGATATGCAAGTGGATCTGGATAGAAGGTATTTTCTTCTTAGCTATTAGGTTGTGCTTTCTATTGTTGTTGAACATGTAGCCCTGAACATCAACTATCTGTTCATGATAGTAGGAGCTATGTATGTTCTTAAAATCTGGAGAGAAAATAAACAAAACAATGATGTAGAGAAGTAGAGTGAAAATTTACTTCCTCCAAAGTAGAGTTTTTCCTACATTTTCCTTTTTGGGTCAAAGAGAAATTATTTTCATCTTACTTTCCCATTGTGCCCATTACCCACACAAAAGAATAAAATTTGAAATGAAAGGCATCGCTTCTTTATCACATATATGAAATTTTGAATAATTAAGGGTGATCTTATGGTGAACTATGCATTGGTTTTTACAACATGTAGTAAAATAATTGATGGACTAGGGATCTAATAGTGGTAACTGTTTATGGACATGCATTATGGAATACTGATTTAGTTACAGATGCTCAAGGCTGATAGAAATATGAACTTGTGAATGTTGTTCCTAGGAGGCCAGGTCAAAGCCGAATTACCACCCCAAGAAAAGAAACTGACACATGCAGAGTCGCATCAGGAATTGCTGATGGTTAGTCCTTGATTTGATCCCCCAAACTCTTTGTTTTCTTCATTGTCTTCCCCTCCATTTAAATTAAAGGTGCTTGTGATCTTCTTGAAGTGGACTGATGCATCATTTATTGACTACAGGGCTTACCACTGGATCTCCAATCAAGGTAGAAGTGCCCAACACGGATCAGAGAGGAAATGTAAGTACATAAGCTTCACCCTTGTTTCATTTGGAGTTTGTAGGGGGAAATGATAGGAACATCACTAGCAAAGTGGTTAATAGGTCATCTGGTTTGGACTGCATTGTTGTGGATCTTTTAGGGTTGATTCATGTAGTTGCTTGGCAGCTTTGATTCAATGACTACACTCAAATAATCACACATGGAATTTGCAGTTGATGTAATTGTTCCATCTTTATCACATTATATTTGAAAGAGCTGATATGATCTTGCACTTATTTTGCAAAACAATTGTGGTAATAATCTGTTCCCAAATAGTGTGCTATCATCATGATGACCTAACATTCAAGGACTCTTCTCGAGTATCTTTAAAGTCAGAATATATCAGTCATTCTTAATTATCAGTGCATGACTTGTCTTCAATAAAGTTTCCGTTTGTCTTAATATCCCTAAGACTAGTTGGACATATCTTTGCATAGTAGGGACAATTTCAAAGGTGCGAAGTAATATTCTTTATTCAAACATCTTCTGAACGGAATTATCTGATAACAGCATGCATATTATCTTGGTGCTTGTAAAGTTCATCGATACGATTGGATTTTCAGGACTACAGTGAAATGTCATTAGCTTATAGGCCGTCTCATGCTGATGCAACTTATGATTTCAAGTATGGTGTGAGATCAGTACAGGTAACGTCCTCTACAGTTGAATTTTAGTGAATATTATCGTTAACAAGCTCTAAAAATAGTTGATCTACTGATCTATTTCTGTTATAAATCATTTTCGGGTTATTTATCGTGCCTCTGCTAATTCAGGGTGGTGGTAGATCTTCTGCAAGGGAAACCATTGGGAGAGTTGCTGCTGGAGCTGTCGCTAAGAAAATTTTAAAGCAATATTCGGGAACAGAGGTAAGCTCTTTGATGATGTGAGGAAGTTTAATTATGTTTTTCAAACATTTTTGTTGGGTACTACTTCAAATGCAATCACTATAATCTCATTGCACATGCCCATTCAGATTGGGGATGACAACGGAGCGGGGCGAGGGCGGGGATGCCCCCCCCGTTAAAAAAATCAATCC